TCATTGGTGTCAGTACTAGTGCTTGGTTTCGTCATTGGTGTTGTCAAATCGGTAGGGTTTCTTTCGTCATTGGTGTTATCAAATCAGTAAGGTTTCTTTCGTCGTTGGTGTCATCAAATTGGTAAGTTTTTTTTTGTCGTTGGTGTCATTGAATTCAGAGGTTCTTCTTTTGTCGTTGGTGTCATTGAATTGGTGAGGTTTCTTTCATCGTTGGTGTTGTTGAATTCGGAGGTTCTTCTTTCATTGTTTTTTTTTTGTAGTTGGTTTCATTAAATAAGGTGGTTCTTCTTTTGTTAATAGTGTTGTCAAATTCGGAGGTTTTTCTTTTGTCGTCGATGTCATCGAATTCGAAGGTTTTCTTTCATCGGTGTTGTTAAATTTTCGTCGTTGGTGTTGTTAAATTTGGAGGTTTGTTGTTCTTCTTTTGTAGTTGGTTTTGTTGAATAAGGTAGTTCTTCTTTTGTTAATAGTGTCATCAAATTCAGAGGTTCTTCTTTTGTTATTGGTGTCGTCAAATCGGTGGGGTTTCTTTCATCATTGGTATTATCGAATTCAAAGGTTCTTCTTTCATTGTTCTTTTTTTGTAGTTGTTTTCGTTAAATAAGATGTTCTTCTTTTGTTAATAGTGTTGTCAAATTCAGAGGTTCTTTTTCTTTCGTCGGTGTTGTTGAATTTTCATCATTGGTGTCGTTGAATTTGGAGATTTGTTGTTCTTCTTTTGTAGTTGGTTTCGTTGAATAAGGTGGTTCTTCTTTTGTTAATAGTGTCATTAAATTCGGAGGTTCTTTTTTTGTTGTTGGTGTTGTCGAATTTGTTGGTATTGTCAAATTCAGAGGTTTTTTTTTCATAATTGGTGTTGTTGAATTTGGTAACTTTCTTTTGATGTTGGTATTATTAAATTTGGTGTTATTGTGTTATTAAATTTAGTAGTTTTTTTTATATAGTAATTTTATTATTAATTTATGTATTATTTAATATTGTAAAAATATAAAATAAATAAATAAATTGTATAATTATTATAACAAAGAGTTGTCCTTAACTATATGGGATTTACCTATATCGGCAAGACTAGGAAATATAAGAAGATGCTTGAAATAGTATAGAGTTCTAGTAAATATTGAATGGCGCACTACGACAGAATATAAAAAAGCTGCTTATATTAGAGTTAGATATACAAATGAAGAAAAAAGGCGTAGCCTTCAAAATGCTTGGACAATCCACTATGAAGCAGAAAAAACAGCTAGAGTAACGGGTGACAGATTTAATATAAAAGAATTGGGGCTCAGAAACGAATTCAAACTCATATTAAGAGAAGTACCACATAATGCATGTAATGCAATGCTACTTCGTTAACTTAATAAACTGAAAGCAAAAATGGTATTCATACCAGTCAATAGACATGGAAATCAGAGAGAAGCAGCTTTTGTATACTTTGCGTCATTGTTAGATCTGCAAAAAGCAAAAGCAACAACTCCATATTACTATAATACTAGATTGAAATGAGATGAAAATTCTAGATTTGAAGAAGTTAGTCTTTATAAGAATAAAAAAAATTAGAGAAAAAAAGAAGAGATAAAGAAAAACACAAAGGATAGTGAATACCATACGTGAAAGTATCAAGAAAATAGAAATCAGAGGCCCAAAAAAAGCATAAACACCAATGACGAAAGAAACCCTACCGATTTGACAACACCAATGACGAAACCAAGCACTAGTACTGACACCAATGA